CCATACAAAACCCCCACTAAAACATAATCAAACTACGCCAGGCCGGCCGCACGGAATAGATGGGCCTTCAGGGCTCGGCGAAAAAGGCGCAGGTCCGCAACTGTACGTAGGTCGGGGGGGTAGGTCATTCCAGAGGGCAGGAGCTGCCACAGAGAAGGCTCTCCCCCTGGGGGTCGCCAGCCGGCATTGTCTGGCCGACAGCACCCTAAGGAGGTCCTCTCTGGGAGCGGACTGGTCGAAGGGAGGTGTTTGGTAGGAGGTGGTCTTGCAAATACCTAGGTCCATTGCCACGGAGCGCTTTAAAGGTTGTTACTAACACCTTGAAGCGCACCCGGAAGGCCACAGGCAGCCAGTGCAGCTCGCGCAGGAGAGGTGTTACATGGGAGTATCTAGAGGCCCCCAGGATCCCCTGCGCGGCCGTATTCTGAACTAGCTGGAGCCTCCAGGTGCACCTCAAGGGGAGCCCCATGTAGAGAGCGTTGCAATAGTCCAGGTGGGAAACAACAAGGGCTTGAGTGACCGTGCGTAGGGCATCACGATCCAGAAAGGGGCGCAACTGGCGTATCAGGCGAACCTGATGAAAAGCCCCCCTGGCCAGCTGAATAAATGCCAGCTGATTTTTGCATCCCCCTGAATGGAAGCATAGAAAGCGCTAGTTTGAAGACTGCGCAGTTGCAGTTTGCAGTCCGATGACTGCTCCCCTCCCTTCACTTCCATTCTGAGTCTCTGCTATGCTCATTCCTCTTCAAAGATGGTGGCAGATATGCGTGAGAAGCGGTACGCCCAGGAAGGCATCGGGAGCAGCTACCTTTTCCGTGTGGACCACGACACAATCATCGACGCAACCAAGTGTGGCAATCTGGCTCGTTTCATCAATCATTGCTGCACGGTGAGTTACGTAGGGGGTGGTTCCTTACTGTGAGTCTTGCTGCTCTCTCTTTTGTGCCAAGTTTAGCCTTTTACAGAGAACATCTTGGATGGGCACGTGGCTGCCTGCACCCATGAGAGAGAGGGGGAGAGAGAAAAGGCTCCTTCAACAGCATTTAATGTGTTGACACTTCTCAGAATAGGACAGCCTGTGCCGCATTCTGCCTAATAGCATTTAAAGCCCTTGCCAGGGTTAGGACTCCAGGTGTCTATCTCAGGGCTTTTCAACCAGTGGTACGGGTACCACCTGTGGTACATTGGCACCTGGCAGGTGGTATGCGACCATCCTAGAAAAGTAGTGGGGGAGGGGAATGAGCTGAACCGGTGGCAGCACCGCACAAGCCTGAGCGAGAGACAGCTGGAGCTGCAGGGCTGTCAGGGCTCAGCGGAAGCCCCAGGATCAGCGCCAGGCTCCAGCTGGAGCTCAGCACTGATTCTGGCGCTTCCGCTGAGCCCAGAAGAAGCGCCAGGATCAGCTGGAATGTTGCAGCCTCTCCAGGGTCTTGTGATTTACATTCAGATGCTTGGCAACTGATTCATATTTATGATGGTCACAGTGTCCCAGGGTCTTGTGAAGTGACCAAAACCTGCTGCAACCACCCAGCAGACGGGGGGGAATAAAAACCAAACACCCCCACCCCACCCCTGCTGCCAATCCTCAACAGAAATGCTCACAATGAAAACCTCGGACAGGAGGAAGAGCGCCGCCGGGTGGGCAGGCAGGTGTCTTGCTCGGCTGTGTCTTGGGGGGCACTTTTTTCAGTGCCATTGTAACTTCGAACGGTCACTAAACAAACAGTTGTAAGTCGAGGACTACCTGTACTTTATCACTTTTTTCCTTTTTTTTTTTTTTTTTTTTTNGCAGGCAGGTGTCTTGCTCGGCTGTGGCTTGGGGGGCACTTTTTTCAGTGCCATTGTAACTTCGAACAGTCACTAAGCGAACTGTTGTAAGTCGAGGACTACCTGTACTTTATCACTTTTTTCCTTTTTTTTTTTTTTTTTTTTTGGTCATCAAGTTTTTGACACCTTGCTAGGCGACTGGTGGTACTCGGATGTTGCCATATCCTAAAAGTGGTACAATGGGTGAAAAGGTTGGAAAAGCCCTGGTCTATCTGAACCCCCAAGAAATGTCTTGGGACCGTGGCGTTAAGGGAGAAGGGAAGAGCCCTCGTGAGCTCATTTGCAGAATGCTGATCAATCAGGAATGTGCGCTTCCCCTTGCCACGTCCCTTGTTCCCAGCATCTTTTTGCTTCAGTCCTAAGTGGCCTTACGGTTCCCTTGCCTTTCGAATACCGTGGCAGCCGCCGAATGGCGTTTGAAAGGTGCTTGGGTTAGCAAGAGGTGGCCTGGTGCTGTCGTTAAGAGCCTCCCGCTCAGCTCTGTCTTTCCTTCCTTTAGCCCAACTGCTATGCCAAAGTCATCACCATCGAGTCCCAGAAGAAGATCGTTATCTACTCCAAGCAGCCCATCAGCATCAATGAGGAGATTACGTACGACTACAAGTTCCCAATCGAAGAGAACAAGATTCCCTGCTTATGTGGCACAGAGAACTGTCGGGGGACCCTGAATTGAAAAGAAGCCCGGCATTCCTATTTATTTTGTTTGCTTCAGCCCATTTTTCACCCTCCCCGGTCGTTTAGCATCTCTCCCCACAGAGCCGCCATGGGAAAGTTCTCAAGTCGCCTTAAGAACCATCTGGAATCTTTTAAGAAGTTTTCCATTTGCTTCTCCTCAGGTTCCTAATCAGTGAGAATTTTCCTTTTTCTTCCAGTCAAATCAGAAACAGTCCTCTCCTTCTCTTTTACACGGATGTTTGGTCGTTTTTTGATCCAACCCCCCCAAAACAGGTAGCCGTTAAACACCCTCTCCCTCCTTGTATTAAGAACAGCTTTAAGCTTGTCTCCAAGTAACCACCGCTTTTAAATTTGGCTAAAAAGGTGGAGTTTCCTGTGCACGGAAGGGTCCGCTAAACAGAATGGATTCCCTTCATTTTAAGGAATCTCCAGAGTGCTAAGGGTCAGTTAATAAAACAGTAGGAATTGCAGGGTCCAAGAAAAACCCACGAAGGATTTTGAGGCCATACAATGTCCGATGTTCTCGAAGGGCATAAATGGTACCCGTAGCTAAGAGTTGATGAACCCTTGCAATCTCATAGTTGAATTTTTTTAAAACTACTGGATTCTTTTATAAAAGCATTCTAGGTTTATTGAGATGTATACGAGAACAGTTCCTTTCCTAAACGGATTTGTTCTGATATTTAGAGTTTTCCCTGAACCCCTGCTAGATATAGCCAAGATTATCCAGGGATGATCACTTTCCAGTTTCGTTTGGCTATATTTTTTTTAAACATGAGCAAAGATTTGAAACCTCTCTAGCTTCAGACGATTTGTTCCTAATCCCATCTGCCATTTGTTCTTCCAACCACACACTTAAGGTTACAATAGCAAAGATTCTGAAAAGTAATAACTGTATGGTGCCATTCAGATTGAACCTCCCTTCCCTTGCGTAGTGTCTGCCTTGCAATAGGTATTAAGTGGGGGGGGGGGGGAATCCAGAACCCATATAGATTAAGGGAGCTGTTTCTTTGCTACAGTTATGGCCTCAACCATCTGGCTCATAGCCAAAGGCTAAGACCTTACCCCCACCCCCCTCCTCCTTCCATATTTTTTCTTAGGAGAAGAAAAGTTGTGTACATATCTAGTCCAGATGGATTGGCTGTTTCTTGTAGAAACACATGTTTACTGGTATGTAAATATTTTATTTTTGTTGTCCACTTCATACTGAAAAGAGAGCTGTAAATAATGTTTCATTGTATTTCCTTCTCCTGCTTTTACCTATATTTGCATCGTGCCACTGTTCTCTTTTAATGCAACGTGGGGGTTTTTTTTCCCTTTCTTCCTTATCCTGGAGAAAATGGATGGAGTATATTGGAGGTCAAAAATGCCTATTTTACTAACCACTTACGTGGGAGTCCGTTAAAACAAAAGACTTTAGGCACACCGAGCTATTTTAGCAGGATTTACTGTTTTTAAAACGTCCCACCATTCTAGTTGTTTTTTTTGTGTAAGTGTGTGTGTTTCTGAGCTGCTGTACTGAGATGGCCATTCTGTTGAGGGCATTTTTTCCCCTCTCAGTGGACTGCCCAGAGTTAAGGTATATTGAATGACTTCCAACTTCCCCAACCTGAATGTCTGAACGTACATGGCGGAGAGAACCACACCTTCTCTGCAAATTCACTTTTAACAGTCTCTGCAAATTCACTTTTAACAGTGGGGGCATAAGTGGGAAAGAGGTGTGGATAAATTTCAGATGGGATGCCCAAATCCTTGTTGCTCTGCCATGTCGAAACATACACACACACACACACACACACACACACACACACACACAAAACTCACTGAGAAGATGATTTGATTCCTTATCCTGGCCTTGGGGAAAAGCAGACTAGAGCAGGATGGGGAAAGTGTGAGAGGCAGTCTCGTTGCTGGGAGGAGCGTTACCTAACAACTCCTAACAACTCCCACCTGATTGTGTCAGTTTCCAAAGGCAGGCTTTATAATGTTGGTTTGTCAGCTCCCCCCAGCCGTTTTTTGCCCATCCCGGTAAGCCGATCGCAGAGACAAACCTGTTTAGGTAGTGAGAGTAGGAGCTGTAGATCAGATTTTTTAAAAGTGTGTCCCGTTCATTTCTTCTTGCTGAAAACGGCTCCTTCCTCGTGTAGGTGTTGTTTAGTAAATAAGTTGGGACCGTAGTTCTGATTAAAGTTTTATTTCCACATTTGAAGGCTAATGAAGGAGATAGTTAAGTGGCATCTTCTCCCTGAATGCTGGTCAGTGTTTTATGCTGATGAAGGTGTCTTTGTGTTTCATTTTGTTGGAAGTCTGCTTGGTTTGCGTCCTTGGAGACGAAGCTTCCACAGTTTGGGATCTTTTTAGATTGTTCCTTTCACAGGAGGCATTAGATCAGGGGTAGGCAACCTTGGCTCTTTTATGACTCGTGGACTTCAACTCCCAGAATTCCTGAGCCAGCTATCTCAGGAATTCTGGGAGTTGAAGTCCACGAGTCATAAAAGAGCCAAGGTTGCCTACCCCTGCACTAGATAAATAGTTTACACCACCTCTAAAAGATTGTTTGGGGGTCTTAATTTTCTCCTGATAGTCTTAACCAGCTAAAGAAGCACAAGAAAACCCATTGTCTTGCTTTATAGGCTTTATAGCTTAAAGAGACCAAAGGAAAAAAAATTTTTTTTGGGGGGGTGGCTGGAGTTTGTATTTGCAATGGAAGCCTTGCACAGACTTGCCAAACTCAGCTGGGTAACTTTCTGCTTCTCATTTCATGTGGTTTTGTTGTCTGCATTTTCCCCCATGCAATGTTCCTATATATGTTGAAAATAAGGAAGTTGCGGTCACCCATTTTAGCAAGGAGAAGTGGAAAGGCTAAATCACCTGAGAAAAGGGTATGGATGAATGTGGAGAAATAGTGTAAACATTCACACAGATATGTAGCTTCATAGAGTTGTCTCCGTCCTAACCCACCAATCTCTCCAGGCCCTGGCTTTGCTGCTGAGGACTTGACTCCGATACCACATTCTGTAATAGCGCAATTCATGGTTTTGTTTTAACGACACCCTTCCAGATATTTATTTGTGTCTGGGTGATTCTGCAACTGCTTTCTGATTGGCCCTGAGAATTTTACCCAAAAACAGTTCCAACCATTTTCCCTTTTACTATTTCGTACTTTCCAAATGTGATTTTTCTCTGCTCGGATGGCTGTGCACTTGTACTAGGGACAAACCCGTAACCTACATGACTTAATTGTGAATTAAAGCAGTTATAGTTGGAATCACCCATTCCATCTAGCCCGTTCCTCGGGTCTCTGTGTAAATTGACAAAATTTGGGCTCTGTTCTGTGGTGCTTTTCTTTGGGATTTTGTTATAAATATCCATCCATGGGCCAGTCGGTTTTGAACATCATTGTGTAAAATGTCTCATGGAAGATTAGAGTCTTGAAATTCCTCCTGAATTGTGCAGCCACTAGATAAAGCCTGGATAAGTTCTAGCTTTTGCTCGAAACTTTGGTAAAATAATATCAGTTTAATGTTGCTCTGCTAATTCCAAAGAAAGCTGCCTCACACACATTCCTTTAATATTTAAAAAAGTTTAACTGCACAATTTTTCTAAATTGAGACACATTTTTTAACAGCTGACTAAATTGCACCAAATTATTATGATACATCAAACTTCTGCTTTTTATTGGATTTAAATATTTTCCTCTGAAACTTTTGCATCAAAGAACCACAGAATATTGAATTCCTATGTTTTTTTTTGGGGGGGGGGGGGGAAATTGGCCTTTTTAAAAAGAATATGCCTCCCCTTATTTTAGACTTGCAGGTAAAATACCTACCAGGGCTAGCCAGAAGATTACAGCTGGGGAAAAAAACGTATTTACTTTGCATCGGTAAAAATATGCAAAAGAATCTTGCTCAGTGGGTTTTATTACAATATTTCATCATCATTAGTTTATATTTTTTTTAAAATTTTCAAATAGTGATGTCTGATTGTGTTCTTGAGTCATGCAAAAAAAACAAACAAAAAACCAATCCACACTGGTTTTCTGCATATCCTAGCCTGAGTGTTCCAGATGCTCAGTTTATTTACTCACGGTGGCTAGTTTTCTAGATTGATCATGTACTTACCATAGCCATCCTATTAGCAAGAAATCCCCTCCTCCACCTGCCTCCCATTTTAATTACACATGTGCCTTTTTAAAATAGTTGTGGGAAGTTTTCATTTACTCTCACCTGTTCATTGTGGAAAGTAGGCATTTTGGTTCCTGTGGTGTGTTTCTCTTCTTGCCAAAATCTGCATTGTCTGAACTGATCTACGCAATCACCTTTAGAGTGGTAATTTCCTGCATTCAGTTTAGCCACATACCTCCTCCTGCTAGGATGGATGAGATAGTTTTAAATGTTCAATAAAGCAATGAAACCTGTGTAAATTATTCTATATGTTTTTATCAAAACTCTGAATTTGGCTTCTCTCTTTCTCCCCCCCCCCTCCCTCCCTTTCTCCCACACTCTTCTACAAGTTGACTCCTGGCCAACTTGTAAAGCTTACTGTTTTGTTACTCATTTTTCTTTACATGTGGGATTTCTTTTTCCTGTGTACATATATGTAAAAAGAAAACAAGAAAAAAAAAATAGATATACAAAAAAAAATTCTCTAGCAACAAGGGCAGCTTGCCTGGAGTTTTGTGTTTTAACACAAAGGATGGAAATGTATGGACGTGGATGGATAGACTTCCCCCTTTCCCCCCCCCTCTTTCCTAGCTGCCCAGTGGATGGATGTGTTTTTTTTTTTTAATTTGCATACCTATTCTGTCTATATAAATATTATATATATAGATATATATAAATATATAAATATATTTTCGTTTGATCTTACTGGCTTCCTACTTGTAAATATGTTAATAATTTGTGGATTCATTACTTGGTGCCAGATAGCACATTTTTATAAAAGTCATTAAACTTTTATTGTACAAAAATGTATGCCTTTTATCCTCATTTCTGTGCTCTGGATCTGGAAATATTTCAAATTTCAGAAACAATGCCGAAAATTCCATTAGCGGGCTCCAAAG